CCAGGGCTACACAGAGAAACACTGTATTGAAAAAAGAAAAAACAAATAATTCACAAGGAATCATTTTCCCACTAACTGACCTCAAGAACTTCACCCCACTCTTCCTTGTTCTACTTTTATGAACAACTTTCAGCTTTCTCCTAATCTTTCCTTCCCTTGTTTTGGTCACCTTTATCTGCAACTGCTGAAGGTCTACACCAGTCCATCAGATGTGGAGCTGCTCCCAGCACACAGGCACATTATGGTCCCTGCCCTTGGAGAACTGCCAAAGCACTGGGCTCTCTGTGACCTCATAGTGATTCTGCCTTCCATTTCCAGGTTGTCCCAATTATACTTCACACACCAATAGTGAAGAGACTCCACTCCACAGGTTTGGTCATAATGCCCAAAACATTGTTCTAGTCAGCGTACAAAGTCTATGGCTGTCCTTAGCCTTTGATGGACCACACTATTCAAAGACATGTCTATGTCCCAGCTTCTCAGAGACTGAGGCAGACAGAACACTTGGCCCTAAAAGTTACAAATTATACTGGCCAACATGAAGTGTGGCCATTTGAATGTAACTGGCCCCGATAATCTCACAGAGAGTGGCACTATCAGAAGATATGACTTTGCTGGAGAGGGTATGGCCTGTTGGAGGAAGTGTCTCATTGGGCTTTGAGGTTTCCTATGCTCAGGATGCCACCCAGCGTCTCAATTGACTTCCTGTTGCCTGCAATATGTAGCACTCTAAGCGCTAGCACCATCTGCCTGCATGCCGCCATGTTTCCCACAGTGATGTCAATGGACTGAACATCTGGAACTGTAAGTGAACAACCCCAAATCAATGATTCCTTCTTAAGAGTTGCTGTGGTCATGGTGTCTCTTCACAGCAATAGAAACCCTAAGACATGAAATAATAATAATTATTATTATTAAAAATAATAATAAAAAAGAAAAAGATTCAACATATCTCTAGCTTCACCCTAGGAGCACTTTCTAATTCTGTACAGACACAAATGGATCTAGACCCACAGCTTGTGACTCTCCCATCTCATGTCAAATTCAGACTGTCCTCCTGTAGTCCATAACTTTCCAATACTTCTGGTAGACCCAGTCACGTGTGTCAAACTTAGCAAGCCTCACAATGGATTTAGTATCGTAACCATTCCCATTCCAAACAGAAATTCACCAACTATCCAGATGTCAATGAGAAACCTCACATCTCTCAGACCTTTAGTGTGTGTAGTCCTTCCAACATTCACTAAAGAACCAGGAGTGCAGTACCTACTACACACTAGCTGCAGAGGTTGGACTCGGAGCTCTAATGGAGGAGAATGGACCTTGACACTGACACAGAACTGATTGTCTGGCCTCAAGAGTCACGAGGCCTCTGATAAACACCTCTGCCATGGAATGCCCCTCAGTGGCAGACTACTTGCCTGAAGTGTGCAAGGCTCTGTGTCTGTTCCTCAGCATTACAAAATAAAAATCAAAAATAAAGTCTCCCATCTTGATACTCAATATGGCTCACTTGGGCTAGGGAAACAGCTACTCCTGCCTGACAAAGGGGATAGCAACTGATCACATTTGTGACGGTCAATCCTATTCCAGGGCACTCTTAGAAACCCCAAGCCTTTCCCGGCGTTGGTGGTGCACGCCTTCAATCTCAGCACTCGGGAGGCAGAGGCAGGCAGATCTCTGTCAGTTTGAGCCCAGCCTGGTCTGCAGAGTGAGTTCCAGGACAGGATCCAAAGCAATACAGAAAACCCTATCTCAAAAAAACAAAAAATAAATAAATAAAAAGAAAACCCAAGCCTTTCTAAAACACACTTCTAATTTCATTGTCTTGTTAAAAATCCTTCAAAGGAGATCAGGTATGTTGGTACTCGCTTTTAATCCCAGCATTCAGGAGGTAAGAGGCAGGAGGATCTCAGTGACATTGAGTCCAATTTGGTCAACATAGCGACTTATATGTTGTAGGCCAGTCAGAGGTACATAAGAGACCCTCAACAAAACCCTTTAAAGGCTCCCCATGGAGTTCAGTGAAGCACAAACCTTTTAGCACAGTATGAGCCCCATAGGCCACTAGGCCACTCCCCCATACATACTCTAGTTGACATGAAGGAGAGAGAAGGACAGGAAACAGGAAAGGAGAGAGGTCCAGACCGCCCCATATCATCCACCACCAACTCCCGCCAAGCCTCAAGATTTTTCTCTTATTTCCAGACTCCCTCATTTCTTCAGGTTCTTCAAACACTGCTCAGATCACTTCCAGTGACTGTGAGGCCTTAAGGAACATCATCCCTCCACTCCACCAGCTGAGACTCACAGGGGTCAAGCCCATCCCACCTCCAACTGTTTTAAAAGCTATACAACAACAGCTTATGTAAGCAGGTGTTGGTGTACATGGACACACTGTTCTGTGCTAGCCTGACCTCTGCAACAGAAAGAGGCTGCTCAGTTCCTATCTGCTGAATATATAAAACTGCTTCCTGTGTCTCTTCCACTGAGGGATTCACGGTTGCTTCCAAGGAGGTGGAATCTCCTTTGTCTCCAGAAATGCTCTCAAGAGATCTCTAATCATGAAATCTTTTAAGTGTAGAAAAATCTTGTTATGCACTCAGGAGGGTGAGCTCTGTGAGTTCAAGGTCAGCCTAGTTTGCGTAGGGGGTTCCAGGACAGCTAGAGCTACATAACAAAGAGATTCTGTCTCAAAAACAAAAAAAGAAAGAAAATACTTCTTATGGAATGGCAGTTCTAAAAGCTATTTATGTGTTCTCACAAAAAAAAAATAAGCTTGCATCTATGAAGCAACACTTTCAAAGAGGGGGTTGAAGAGATGGCTCAGTGGTTATGAGCATGTGCTGATCTTAACAGAGGACCCACATTTGTTTCCCAGCTCACAACCACCTGCAACTCCAGCTCCAGGGAGATCCAAAGTCACTGGCTTCTGAGGGCAACTGTACTCATTTACATGTTTGTACACACACACACACTAGTACACATTTTTAAAAATAATAAAACTAAACCATCAAGAATTTTAAAGAAAGTGTAAAGCTGGGAATGGTGTTTCATGCCAGCACCTACAGCACTTGGGAGACTGAGACAAGCGGACTGCTACAAGCCACCCTGAGCTACAAGATGACACCATGTCTCAAAAATCAATTAATAAATAAGTAAATCTAAAGGTGGGTTCAATTCCAGCACCACATGGCAGCTCACAACTGTCTGTAACTCCAGTTACAGGAGGGGGTCCAACACCCTCGCATAGACGCAGATGCAGGCAAAACACCAACACACATAGAATTTTAAAAAAGAAAATAAAATTTCAAGCACTGACAATAGCACACACATAAATCCATTATTATATAGCAAGGAAGATGGGCATGAATCAAACTCTACTCAGGATGCAGACAGTGACTGAAAATTCTGAGGCACTGCCTTATTTATTCCTGGATATTTCCATAGCACTCTGCGCCAGCCACAACAATCCTTTAGCAAAGAAAGCAACACTTAACCTTTCAGCAACACTGCTTAAACGAGACAGATGCACTCTTGGTATTCACCCTACATCCCAATCCCCGCACTCACTCAACAAATCGCACTGGATATCATGCATTCTGCACTCTGGGCTATAGTGGTGACTAAACTAAGTCCCAGTTTTGCGGACACTTACACTCTTGCCTGGTAGGATAAACAGGTGTGTGTGTACATGCCAGACAGAAGCACCAAGAAGAATCATGACAGAAAGGGGAACCTCCATACACAGGTACGTCCCATTTGTCTGCCTTCCCTTCTCCAGGAAGCTTCCCTTACTCTTCCAAATAGGAATTATTTAGTGGAAAAGGGTCAGTGTTTGATAAGGACCTATGTGCTAGGCACGTTTATAAACAAGTCCCTGCAAATAAAACAGGTAAGAAGTTCACAGTCCAAATGGAGAGGCAGAGGTTCTTTCTTAGCTCACAAATATTTACACAACACTATGTGCAGAGCACTATAGATCTCTACAAAAAGAGAGAGACAGCATGGCTCGCCTTTGATCCCAGCATTCAAAGGCAGAGGTAGTAGATCTCTGTGAGTCTGAGGTCAGCCTCCTTTACATAATGAGTTCCAGGAGAGCCAGGACAAGGTAGAGATCCAGTCTCAAAAGTTGGGGTGGGAGGCTAAAAATATTAAATTTAAGCAGACGGGTAAAATGTCATGCCTGAGGCCACACAGTAAGTTAGTGGCAGGGCCAGGACTGGAACACAGTCTGCGCTTCTAACCACTACAGTTTCATCCAGAAGTCAATCTTCCCAGACAATACACAGAGCCTAACCAAAAGGAGGTTGAGAACAGGTGTGAGAGCCTACGAGAATAAGGCAAAACTCAGAGGAAGCCATACCCTGAAAAATGAGAAATGCATTCTGTACCTACACTCCGGATATTACATATCAATCCTAGTAGAAAGCGCTGTCTATCCTAGGAGGTATCCCCCTGAAACCCGGAGTCGTCTTCTAGTAGAGTTTATAGGACTCTATAGTTTACTGTCTCCTGGGTGGTACCCTGCCCCATCACGGGCGATTCCCAGTAAAAGGATAGCTTGCGGTATTCTAGCAGAGGGTAACTGTCAAATCTAGCTGCATTCCCTGCCAGCACCCAGCAGCACACCAGTGGGTGTTCAACAAGAACTTGTGCAATGACAGGGATTCCTTGGACCAAGAGCAAGGCTCATCACCTGGACCCCTCCTCCAGGATCGCACAGTCCCTGGCCCTCTGGAAGCTGGCCACTGCTGGCCCTGAAAAGAAGCTCAGAGAAAGCGACGCTCCTGTCCCACCCTCCTCCGAGCACACACTGGCCCCCAAGCGCCCTCGGCTCACTACCTCCGGGCAAGAGCAGGGAAGCCGGGGAGGCGGCGGCCTGCGTGACGGGGATGAAGGGCACGTTGAAGCTGAACTCCGTGGCCGAAGAAGAAAAGAGTAAGTTAGTGCCCGACGAGGGGGCAGACGTTCCGCCACCGTTAGTCTTCCTATCCGCCATGGCTGCAGACCCCAGCCGTTACGTGGCTCTGGGAGCCCGGTGCTGCACCACAGACAGGAAGCCGATCACCCAGGGTGCCACCGCACTTCCGCACTTGCGCACGGGGCCACAGGCTCGGGAGCTACTCAGGAACAAGTTCTCTTCCGGAAGCTGACGCCGCCCAAAAGCAATAAGGTGGAATCGACTTCAGGCCCAAGTGTGTCACGTGATACCCTCGGCCTCTCGAGACTAGGACAGACACAAGAACCTTAGCATAGAGGGGCGTGGCCGCTCTGGTTCCGAATCCAAGCACTAATATATACTGAAAGTCGCAGGTTCTCGGTTGCGCTGGACTGTCTGAATTTCTTATGGGCTATCTGGGTTTTTGTTGGTTTTTTTTATGTTTTATTTTTGGTTTATTTGCTTGCTTGCGAGGCAGGATCTCGCTATGTAGTCCAGACTGACCTTCATCCTCCTGCATCAGCTCTTCCAGTCCTGAGATTAATAATACCACACGCAGCAATTCTCATATCTTTAGGACAGGCAGTAGTAGCAAATGAGAGTAAGAATCACTATGTCCTTGATGAGGGGGGCGGGGTCGCCTGGGATTCTCCTATTGCCTTCCACAGCACTCTTCCTGTTGCCTCTTCCTATTGCCTCTTCCAAGTGCTTCAAAGGTCTGTGCACCACTACAGGCTACTATCTATCTCGTTGCACATATGCTTTGAAAGGTATCTTTGGAGCCTTGCGGTGGTGGTGCACGCCTTAATTCCCGCACTCGGAATGGGCAGAGGCAGGTGAATCTCTGAGGCAAGCGAGGTCTACAGAGTGAGTTCTAGGACAGCTAGAGCTACACAGAGAAACTGTCTGAAAAAACAAAAAGAGTGTCTTTGGTAAGGCAGTTCCAAATAGTAGACGATTTACCTTTCAAAGGGGCAGAGAAAAGATTTATAATTGCAAACATTCTAGAGTAACTGCTCTAACCTAGGGTCACAGACTTGTCTGCCTATTAGCAGGTTTTGGCTGAAAGAAAAACAGCAAACCCTGGCAGTGTTGAGCTTCTTAGGACAAGCATTTTAACAGGGACTGGAAGGAGGGAGAGTAGTGTTGGAGATGCTTATGGGTGAATCATAGATAATGGCCTCAAACTGCCAGAAGTCATGCTAGATTAGAAGTTGTCATTGCATTAATAAGCAAGGTGGAGAACTGAACACCAGAGAGTGATGTGTGAAACAGACCTGAAATATTTCCTTTTTTTTTTTTTGGAGTTTACAGCTTAGCAAAATAATCAACTAAACACATAGTAACAATAACCTGCAGACTTTCCTTAAGTGTGTTTCCTGGAACACTGACATCATCAGGGGACAGAGGTCTAAACCTTCCATGAGGAGAGAACATGTATCTCTCTCCATCAAACCAATAGCAAAGAACCTACTCAGCCTGAAGTGATAAAAAGCTTTCCTGAGAAAGAAAAATTGCTCCTTAGCCTCTTTATAAGTGCAGGGACAATTTTCCTGACAGCTCGACTTATATGTGGTCACCTCAGAAAAGCCCAAATTCCAAAACTATCACTTTGAGTAATTAACTTCAACATATAATACTTAAAAAAAATAGACCACAACAGGAAGAAAACAAACTGAGTAATAATTAAGGAGAGCAAAAGGTCTGAAAAGGGCCTGAAAAGTGGCCTTATTCTAATCAGTTCCCCTTCATGGACTCCAAGCCTCCCAATAACACCATCAGATTAAAAGTCCATTACTGTGGAAAACAAGAGATGGTAGCATATGCCTTTAATCCCAGCACTCAGGAGGCAGAGACAAGTAGACCTCTGAGTTTCAGGACAGACAGGGCTACACAGAGAAACCTTGTCTTGAAAAAGCCCCACCACCACCACCACCCATTGATGGGGACTGGAGATGTAACTCAGTTTGGGCTATGTAGTGAGTTCCAAAGAAACCTGGGCTACAACAATAAAAATCAACAATCAATACATTTCTAAAGCCAAATCTTAGTGCAAGCTTTATTTTTTATAGTATGAGGAGCATAGCTAAAATATGACATTTCCCCCATTCAATTCCAAGAACATGACTACTGTCCCTATGGAATGAATTAATGGATGAATGAAGTGGTAATATCCTCTGTATTAGCTACGTTTCTATTGTTTTGATAAAACACCATGACAACTTATGAAACTTATGAAAGATTTAATTGTGTTTCAGAGGGTCCGAGTCCATGATGGCCAGAGTACAGGACAAAGGCATGATGACAGGAACAGCTGAGATCATACATCATGATCTGAAAGCAGAAGGCAGAGAGAACACACAGGATGGTGGGAGGTTTCTGAAGCTCCAATGTAGCAGACATTCTTTTGGGCAACCAACCAGCTCCCAAATCATGACATGAACACTTAATATTAGTTATGAATGCTTGGCTGTTGTAATTTTTAAAATGGCTTGAGAGAGAAAGATGCTATGCTACAGAACTCATGTGGAGGAGTTCTTTAATTAAGGAAAAGGGAATGGAAAAACAGGGAGGGGAGGGTGGTGATCTGCTTCTGGGGACAGGAGCAGCAGAAAAGAGAGGCAGGGAGAGCTGGGAGAGACAGACAGACCAGCAGAGAAGCAGAGAGAAAGGAAAGACCAGAGAGAGGGGACAGGGAGGGAGAGAGAGAAGAGGCAGGCAGGACCCTTTTAAAGGGGAACATAGTGAATGTGCACAGGTGGTGCTCTTAGTGGCTGCAACTGAGGACATATCCTGTCAGAACCCCAAGGGCAGGTCAGTACAGATGCCTGAATACTAACATTGGCCTTATCTTATGCTTGTCCTACTAGCTCTTATAACTTAAATTAACCTGTTTATCTTCATCTATGTTTTGCCTCAGGACTTTTTACCTTTCTTTTATTCTGTATGTCCTACTCAATGTCTGGCTGGCTGGCTGCTGCCTAGCTGGCTGACCCTAGGAGTCTCACTCTTATTCTCCCTCATTCTCTTCTCTTTTGTCTCTCTAGCCTGGATTCCTCCTCCTATTCTCTCTGCCTGCCTGCCAGCTAGCCAGCCATGCCTAACCTTTCTCAGCCTAGCTATTGGCCATTCAGGTGCCTTTTATTAAACCAATCAGGTGCCTTAGGCAGGCAGCCTGACATGTTAAACAAATGCAGCATAAACAAATGCAACACATCTTTACATAGTTAAATATTCCACAACACTTCAAAGCCTGCCCCCATAACACACATCTCCTCCAACAAGATGACACCTCTTAATCATTCCTAAATAGTTCCACCAACTGGAGACTGAATGTTCAAACATATGAGCCTATGGGGAATTCTCAAAGAATAACACTGACTTTGCCTTGTTAGTTTTCTCAACTCACAAATGCCAGATGTAAAAGCATATTGAGATGCCAAGTCCAAATTACCTCTTCCATCCTGTAGCAAACTAGAGTTGAAGGCAACTGAGCAGAATCATATATAAGAAAAACTCCTGCCCTCCCACTGTTTGCATAAAAACAGGATACAGGTTTTTCAAGGTATCCTCCCTCCCCTTTCTACCAAATAATACAGAAGCTAATCATCTGGAAGAATTTTAGATCTTTATCAGCCCAGACGTGGAAAGATTTTATACACTACTAGACTATGTCTACCATGAGTCTCTCATATTTTGATTTCCTGTAACTTGTCTTTGGAAACTGAAAACTTCTGTCATTACAATAGAAGTTTATTGTTCTCTATGGATCACTGCTACATAACCCCACACTATAAACCATTTTAAGTTATTTGTCCCTGGTTGTTCATAAACTTGTGGCACACATGTTCACAAACTTTTTTTTTTATGAGACAGGGCCATATGTAGCTCAGGCTGGCCTCAAACTGGGTATGTAGCCAAGGCTGGCTGTGAACTCCTGACCTTCCTTACCTTTATCTCCCAAGTGCTGGGAAACAATTCTTGGCAGCTTTCCCTGATCAGTGAGTGGGTAGACCAAGAAAAGCAGGGGGCAGGTTTTGTTCCCTTTCCCCACTTCCCTAAGGAAGTCTCTGGACTCAGTCTAGCTGTCTCTATTTCTCTGTTATCATCTCCCCCTCTTTTAACCCTTGCTAGGAATTAAACCCAGGGTCTCTTGCATATCAGGATGTCAGGCTGCCAGGTGAGCGCACTACCACTGAGCAGTTCTTATTCTTCACCTATCTAGTTTCTTTTTTTTTTTTTAAGATTTTATTTACTTATTATGTATACAACATTCTGCTTCCGTGTATATCTGCACACCAGGAGAGGGCACCAAATCCCATAACGGATGGTTGTGAGCCACCATGTGGTTGCCGGGAATTGAACTCAGGACCTCTGGAAGAGCAGTCAGTGCTCTTAACCTCTGAGCCATCTCTCCACGCCCCACCTATCTAGTTTCTAGAGTACCTTCAGATTACTGTTTTTTTGTTTTATTTTGTTTTTTGTTTTTTTTTTTGTCAAGTAGGTACAGATGACGAAACCCGAATTTTCTGGTACTTCCCATACAGTGGGTAAATGGTTTCTTTATGAAAACTTCAACAATTCCTAAATCCCCTAGGCTAAAGGTTGCTGTGGAGTTGCCCTTCTGGATCTGCCCTCTAAGAGTATCCTGAGCTCTATGGTGAGTGAGTATCTTGCCACAGAAACTCCCTAGTTGCCAGGCAGAAACGCACCTGAGTGTTTTCCAGGTCAGAAACTAAAGACTGGGCAAGAACAGAGTTCTGAGCGCTTGCTTCTCCCGAGGAACCAGTTCCTCTGCAATTCTGAGATACCCACAAAGGCTGCAATGCCTCTTTGATAATTAACTCGTTCAGGAAGAACTCATTGAGCTGGGGACAAGTTCTTACATGGGATTGTGGGCAGGGAACCATAAAAAAGTTCTAGTGCCAAAATCAGAAGGAAAAAAGTCACAAAGAGATAAGATCCGGGGATACCAAATGGAGTTTTACTCCTTAAAAGTCTCTGAGGCCTGAGCCTTTTGGTCCTTGCGCCAGGACGCAGACTTTGAGCCGATGAGGCAGCCTGATGGAGCTTCCCATCAAGGCGGTCACAAGGTGACTCCTACACACAGCACAGTCTCTTTCCTCTGCCCATCT